TTATTATTTTTGTATGTGTTCAATGCAATCTACTTTAGATAGGACGAGATGACAATGATGTTAAATTTTTTCCATACATAACCGATCATTTACTTAGATATTTATATAAATCAGTTTGTTTGAGGTTTTCTAATTCTTCCCGATTAGCTAAATAATGATTTCATTTCCCACATCTCATCGCGAGCCATCTTCGACAACATATATGTAAAATCGTATTTTGAGTTTTTTTTTTAATAATAAGATTATTTTTGAATTAGCTTTCACATATTAAAATTGATTTTTTTTCCCAATATAATGGATCTTAAATTGATCATAAAAATTCTCATTAATACTTTCATAAAAAAAAAATTTCTTGAAATAATGCTAAAATTAAGAAGAAAAAACAATGACAAGACTCCAAAAATACACATGTATTCCATTTCGAAATCATTTAAGAATCATGATCGTAAAGCAGGATCCATGCGTATTCTTTGAAATTTTTTCTATTGTTTTTTGTTAATATTTGACCTTATTATTTTTCTTGTAAGTTTTTTTAATATTCAAACCTAAAATAATTACATGGGAAGTGTCAATAATTTCCTCAAAATCATAAATAGATTCTAGGAATCATAGTTTTAACAATTGACTTGTCAAAGTCATACTTGCTTTACTATAAGATTTCCAGCACAACTTTTATTACGTTTATATTTTGTCTGGTTTTACTTTCGTGAATCTCGTGGATGGCTTGACCGTGATTCTTCCATGCCTCTTCTCTTTTTTTCGAAGAAAAAGACCCTTCCGCCAATTGAAGATTTTGATCTTGAGTCGTGGCGAAGGAGGCCGCTAACCAACAATATTAGTATAAAAATATATTTTTTAATTCTTATAGTTTAGATTTATTTTATTTGGTCCCTATATTTTCAATTTTTTTAAATATCAGTCTTAAAGATTTTAAAATAATTTAAATTGATATATTGCCATTAAATGACTAGAATCTAACAGAATACCTTTTTTTCTTTTCCAGGATAAAATATTTAATGAATGAATAATTATAATTTTTTCTTAGCCTCAGAATCACTAGACACCTCCATAAAATTTTCAGTAAAAATAATCGATTTGTATAAAATGAATCAGGATACTTCCGATATTCCAAAATTAAATCAACATGATCTCCTATTGGAAAATAAAAAAATCTCCTAATTAAATGTACCGTGATAATAATCGTCACCATCTATCGTGACACCTCCAAAAACCCTTGGATGTGACATTTTGTAATAAAACATTTTTAGAATCATAAACTTAATTTATTCTGGTCCAGAATTGCCATAGTACAGTGGGGGGCATGCATATTAATTGTTTGTATTATTGGTCGACAGAAAATACGAAGGTCTTGCTCAGACGACAAGTCACGCCACTGTTGGGAAAGATGCCAATTTGTCTCTTCAAATCAAATGGAGCCTAACAGCTTGTTGGCTTTACCTTTATTTATACGATTAAAAGAATGTAACTACTTCTAAATTTTAAATTATTTTTAAGGTTGAGTCATTAAATTTTGTTATTAATATTGGAGATTCCAAGCTTTTAATTTTTTTAGATTTAATTCATTTTTTAATTTTTTTTATCATTTAGCTAAAAAAATAATAATCACATAAATAATTTCATGATAAAGATATTCAACAAAATTTATCCGAGGCACATAAAAAAATTTTGAGATGATTTTTTTTGGTTGTTTGCATTTTCAATGTTTAAAAAATGAATAAATATAGTTTTTTATTTTGAAAAATTCTAAAATTTTTCTACAAAATGAATTGAATTTTTTTCAATATGTATGCAAAATTTCAGTTCAAAATATCAAAGATTAATATGTTTTTAAAAGAGAAGATGATAGTTAAAAATAATTAAATAAATTAAATTTAAAAAATAAAAATTCAAACATCCCAAAACTAATAAAATAGTCAAAGACTCTATTTTAAAAAAGTATACAAATAGTTAGATTTTTTTATTGTTTGGACAGACATGAAGTGACCCACCTACTTTTCAATTTGTCTTTATCTCTCACCACCTTTTTATATTAATTTGTGCATTTTACCTTAGACTTAGCCTCTTGGTTATTCAATTTCATTTGAAATAAAAAGTTTTATATTCCTTTTATCGTGACTATATCATTTTCTTTTATTTCTTACATATTTTAATAAAATTATTAATTGTTATATTATATCAGTATTCTTATCATAATTTTTAAATTTTTTTAAATTTTTTTATTAAAATCATTAGTTATCGAATTTAGTAATAGAATGCTAACCTTACTCTAAAAATACAATCTATCTAAAATCAAGGAGGTAAATAAAAAAATTATATATTAAGTTTATTAATTATCAATTTTGAAACAATTATAATTAAAAATAAGATACCAATGAAAATATTTTACTTTCAAAATATTAACATGTAGTAACATCTCTATAAGAATGAATATTTTCATGTAACAAAAAATGTCTCTTTAGAATTTTTATTTTAAAGGTATTTATATGTATAGAGAGAAAGTATAAGAAATTATTAATTTTTTATTAATGAAGAACATGAAATGAAAAAAAGAATTGATTGTTTATCAATTAGAAGTATTTTTAAAAAAATTTATTATTTAAAATTTTGACCAAACAATAATTTTGAAACACATATAAAAGTAGAAAAGAAGAATTTTTTTTTTTTTTGAAATAAAGAAAGTGTTGATTTGCACAGTTGGAAAAAAGAATTGCGTATACACTATGATATATGCATGCATGTTGAAATTTGAAAACAACCGGCTACGCTTCACACAGCATGCATTAGAAAGATTAATAATAATAATAATAATAATAAAATAATATAATAGTAATAATAAGTAATCAACTTTTATACTCCACTTGTATGCAGTCTACCTAGTAATTAAAAAACCACTACAACACGAACCAAAAATAAAATGAAATAAATTTTTTGTCCGTACGCCGGTTATCCTTCATTCTTAGATTTTATATATTTTTGCGAAAGTTTCACAAAAGAAAGGGAGGGGTGTGATATTGAAAACTCAGGTATTGTTATCTCATATCATAATAAATATAATTTTCAAATTTGAATTCAACACATTAATTGATAAAAAATTTATTTAAAGAACAATTTATTTGTCATTGGTAAAAACAATAAAATTTTGGATGCATACAAAATAACAAGATTTAAATAGTAACCGGATTGTTTTAAATTTCGTGGCTTTGATCATGGTTGTTCCTTGCGGACATAAAGATACAAACTATAGCTATTTTTATAATGTTACTTACGACTATTGGTGTAGTTTGTATTGAAAGAAAAAAATATTCTATATTTAAAAAAAAACTTTTTTTTAAAGTGTTTATAAGAATGAATTTTTTAGATGTAATAAATTAAAGAGTGTTTTGGTGGGTGGATCCTTCTTGTGGAGATGGATATAAATATCAAAATATTGAACATATGACACTAAATTTATCAAAAAAATTTATAATATTCAAGTAGTAACTACCGTACATACGCACAATAGTTATTTCGCGGTCCTATTTTTTAAGAAAAAGATAGATACATTAAAAAAAATTACATATGTATCCACAAAAAATAATATAAAGATTTATACGTTGGCTTAATTTTTTTTATCTATCTCTCTTTATAGTGTAACTTATACTAATTACTCTTTAAGTATTATAAAACTTCTCAAAATTATCAATACACTTTAAAAACAGTAATTCTCAAGCCCTAAGCTAATTATTTTTTATGTTTTTTTTATCCATACCAAATTACTCTACCAAAGACTACTACTTGCAAAATGCTCAATAATGGTATGAAACGGATTGTACTTAAGTTAACCTAATTTTAATTATTAGAGACTAATATAAATTATATTTTGAGACCTCACCTATTAGCTTAAGCTTTTAGATGAAATGATTCTTTAATATGATATCGAGTTTAGTTGATTAAGAGGTCCCGAGTTCAAATTTAAATATTGAGTCTTTCACTTAAGAGGATGTGTCAGATAATGTTATAAATTGTATGATGGATAGTAATTTAATACTAACTGTCATTTCTGAAAATCACGTGATGCACCGATATATTTTGGTACAAAATTGCTATAGGAATAAATTAAGTACCATGGGATCTGTATGTTTTTTTGGCTCTATCATCTCTTTGGTGGACCGTACCTTAAGGAAAATGGAGCCACAATACCAAGTTTCAGATCAATTGGAAACGAAAAAGAAAACTAAAAATAGAGATGGAAAATGATTTTCCGTTGACGTGACATAGAATTGTCTTTTTCATAGTACATAAAGCGTAGTAAACAAACAAAATATGCAGGTCTTGCCAAGACCACGACAAGCCAAACAACGATTGTGACAGAGGCCTTATCTCTTATGGAACCCAAAGAACAACCTTAAAGGCTTTGCCTATACTGTTTTTGCACAAATAAGAACTGGCCCTGCGCAGCGTGCCTTTAAAGACGTATGAAAACCAGATTTTGAATTTACCATTCCAAAATATTTGTTAAATATTCCAAGCTAAGCGCGGACAGTGTTTTTTCAACCCTCCTCTCCAAAGAAAAAAATTAATTTAATATTTTTCTTCAGGAAACTAATTAATACTATGAACAAAGTCAAAGTATATCGATGCATGAATCTTTTCATGCTCATGATATTTAATTATGCAAATATTGGAGTTAATCTCTCTTTTTTACAAGGCTTATTAAGTTAACTTCGTACGATAATTATCTCTCCAACGTGGTAACTCAATTTTTTGAGTTTTTGTGTACTTGGCTCATTCTATATATATATATATATATATTAAGACAATCATAGTAATATGTAACTTACAACAACACCGATATTATTAATTAAATAGAAGAACATAACAGAAAATAACATTAATTAATTAACAAGGGAGATGGGGGAGAAGATATCTCTTCCAATATTCCAGCTCTGCCTGGCCTACACGATCAATTATCAACTAAATTTACAAGAAAATATTCAATTTTAGTGCTTCTTGATGAACTCTATGATCCCTTCCATTAGGCTAGTAGTTTGAGCAGCTGTATGTGGGTCCATATCAACTGCAATCTTGTTAAGATAAAAGCTGTGACCCACTCCAGGATTAATTAGCAACTCCACATCCTTATTAGCCTTTTTCATGGCTTCATAGTACTCCATCTCAGTGTCCCTAATCAAGTCAGTCTCCGCCACGCAAAGCAAGAACGGTGGCAGATTAAGGCCGTCCAGCGGAGGCGCTGCATGCCCCATCGGACACGTAAAAGGGTGGTCCTTGGTACTCCCTTTTGGCAATGCCAACTTCAAGAACCTGTCCACCATGTCTAGGGTTAAGAATGGTGATTCTGGTTGCTCCATCTCGGATTTACTCCTCTCTGACCGGACAAATCCCGGATGGACTGGAATACCTCCGGCAAGTCTCATCGGACTCAAACCCACTTGACCAGCACGTGCAGCCACATGGTGCACCAAGTTGGCTCCCGAGCTATCTCCAATAAGAAAAACCCTGTTGAAATCTCCATAATTATTAAGCCATCGCTCATAAGAGTCATGTCCTTGTGCTAATGCACGAAGCCACATGAGGGCAGAGAACCCATCATCAATTGCAGCTGGGAGGCGATGCTCAGGGGCTAGCCTTAAGTAGACCGAGACAACAATTGCTGGAGCTGACCTAGCAAGCCTAGAGTATATGTAATAATACATATACCAATCAGCTTGGCTAATGCAAAAACCACCCCCATGAAAATGGACAATTATGGGAAGCTTATTGTTAATATCTGTATTGTCAGGTTCATGTTGGGGTAGATAAATTCTGACACTAAGGCCAGACTTTTCATCTACGGTGACATCACGTACGGCAACACCGTCAATGAATTCCTCATGAGGAGGCACTGACTCTGTCATGAACTTGACCTCAGGGGGTCCGGTCCATGTCCTGTCCACCAAGCCATCGTCGAAGATTTTTAGCCAGCCAGATACCTCATCCACAAGTTTCTTCTGATAGACCATGATTACAAGCTAACTTCTACTATGGTTATGCACTTATGCGGTTATGCAAGTATTTTTCTTGCTTGGGTGTGAGCATTTTGGATGGCCTAGGCTACCCTTTATATAGTGGTTTGGGAGGTGTGGAAAGGGGAAAGTTCAAGGCAATCTTGATTTGCTTCTGAGAGAAAATTAATTAAATAAAAAAGAAATTGCTATTGAAGACGTGACCAAGAAGATTACGATATAATTTTTAGCCGAGGGACCGTTCTATCCATTTTCATGTGCGACTTGAATTTATCTTACACACGTATCGCGTTATATAGAGAAATCTCCCGAGCTACTTTGAAGAAAATTAATTAGTATGGATCAAATTGATTTGATGATTTTTTTCTTCAATTTATTGGTATGATAAACCCAAATGTTGTACATGTTAGTATAAATCAAGTTTCAGTAGCAGTGAGTATTATTTGAATCTGAGAAATTTTATATCACTACAAAAGTAAGAGAGAAACATTAAAAAAAATAATTAAATAAAAATAAAAGAGAAAAAATTAAAAACAAATTGAACATAGATGAAAATATTCTTATTATTCTTGGGTGGTTCGGATGTGATTATCTATTTTTTTTTTAATCTCTTCAAAAGCGAGCCTATAAAATAGTTAAAATTTCTATATTTGCAAAAACTGAAATTTAAAAAAAAAATATAATAAAAGATATTTAAAATGCGATCTTTATTTCTAAATTCCCACACCAAACATGCAGGCTAGTTTAAAATTAAGAACAGTGTCAATTTTTTTATAGTCATAGATGGAATTTTATAATTTATAATTAGTGGTCAGAAGTTTAGTTTTAATAATTAGTGAAATCAGAGAAGTTAATCGTATTACTATGACATACTGAATTGATGAACAATAAAAATAAAAATTATTCTAGAATAAAAAATTATTCTAGGAGTTTAGTTTTATTCTAATTATTCTATTTTTCAATCTCAAATACTTTAAAATAAAAATTTGAAACTATAATGTCTTGCAAGTATTGACTGCCCGCTTAGAAACATATTGATTAAAAACACTAACAATTAGTCGGTGAAAAATATGAATTTCAAGCAACTTTGAATATTATTATTCTTTAAAGTAACTTTAAAAACACTAGCAATTAGCTGGTGAATTTATGAATTTCAAGCAACTTTTGAATATTTATAGCCTTTAAAGTAGCTTTAATCCCTTTTTTTTTCATTTTTCTTTTTTAAAAAATGTGTGAACAATGAACCCAGAGAGCCATTTGGGGATATTGGAAGGCGTATATCATATATGCTAGTTGAACATAAATTTATTGGAAATTATAATAGTTTGAAAGCTCATATTTTCATTAAATACGGGTCACACATAAGTGGAGAATCCACGGTTTATGAATGAGAAATTTGAAACAATTATTTATGAAGATCTAAAGTCTAACGATTTAGGATTTTGGATTGAAGTGGTAATGCATATAAGTTCTTAAATGCACACTTCTCAGTATAACTTGTCAATGTAATCTCCTAAGGTTTTAAATACTGCTAACCTTCTTTTATTATATCAAAGAATTTGTAGTTCAATAATAATAATCTTTTATAAAAAATCATGAATTTAAATCTTAATAAATTAGTTATACCGAGAGATTTCGGTGTGTAATAGAAAAAAAAAAAAAAAAAAAAACCTCTCTTATTATAGTTGTCGTCCTTTATATAAATGACAAATAAAATTGGTAACAACCAGACTGAAATCCCGTTTAGGGTTGAGGTGTGGTCAACTTTTAGCTAAAAAAACGGCAAAAGCCACAGCCTCATGTTTGGTGAAGGAAAAAAAAAAGAGTGGAGTCTACCTAACTAGGGTTCACACTGAAACAGAGAAGTTGACAAGAAATCCAAACCTTGCTTTGAAGCTTTTACGTACACACATATGCTATAGTTTGTAACTAAATTTTTGACCTGCAGCGTATATAAAATTATTTACAAAAATTATTTCAGTTTAATAATTTATTTTATGATAAAAAATAATTATAATTTTTTCATCAAAAAAATTATATTTAACTATTTTTTATTTGTATTTTTAAATTTTAGAAATAAATAATAAAGAAAATAAATTATTGATTTCTTTAAAATTTTAACATCCAATTAATTGTTGATTCCTTTAAAATTTTAACACCCAACATTATTAAGAAACGAAAATAAAATAAAAAAATCAATTTTTTTTTTTAAAAATGAGGGCCAGCGTTTATTGTTCATGTGAACAGTAACAAATGGAAATTAAAAAAAATTCAATATTTAGAAAGGAAAAAAAAAAAGAGGAGGGAGGAAGTCGTTTACCATTCATATGAATAGTAAATGAAAAAAGAAAAAGGAAAATAAGGTCACGCTGACAAAAAAAATTATAGAAAAACAAAACATTGTAATAATAAACAGTGATTAATAATGTTTATTACTACAGTAAACAACTGTTTTGTTTTAGTACATAGAATAATACCTACTCCTTGTCGGAGGAAATGAATTTATAATGAGTACTTAAAATCTGGTCTACAATTCATACACCGAGTAAACCAAAAACAAAAGAAACTTATGTACAATTCAACTGCCAACAATCCGTATAATAATTTCCCTGTCGTTTTTGCAACAACTTTTGTCGCTTTATATCAAATTTCAAGATATCATGTTTCCTGCCCCTGCATTGCAAAGGATTTTCTTGGCAATTACAGTGTAAGTTCTCACATTTTGAGTGTTGAATTTTAATGGATTGGTGGGAAATGTTAGAGGAGTTGATGAACAGAAGGAAAAGAGTCAGAAGTCAAGATGCAGCCATGGGAGCCACGTTCCACCTTCTACAGAGTTGTGTGGAAACTTAGCCGAATTTGTTAAGAAAGCGAACGCAAATGGTAGTCCAAGTCCTTACCAAACGTGCAGGAGACAAGGACCATGGGTTTTAGGCAAGGCAGCCAATAAAATGCATGGAATTCAAACTTTTGAAAGTGCTCTAGTCAATCTGAATTTGAATTAATAGTTGATTGAATAACTTTAAGGGTCTCTATAGCAACTTTGACAAGTACCTACTAATGAGCAGTTTGTTGGGGTTCAAAACTTCCAAAGAAAAAATATACTTACATATCGTATAGAGATGATCATACATGCTCAGACTTCTAACCAAGGACCAAATACGAGTCCAAGTCTCATTGAAAAAAAAAAGATAGTGATGATTTTGGAGAGAAAAAGGACCATATATATGAAATAAAAGCCTTCTTTTCCGTAGAGTTTTTCCAATTTGAGTCATCATCATGAATATATTGAATGGAAGATTAAGACAAATTTAATCCCAACTTTTATAATTTTACACCTTGCTCATTATATTAGTATCGACTTCATATATTAGAGTCCTCTCCAAAATTAAGGCAAATAATTAACAATAATTTTTTAGTATCATAAAATTAAATAAGCACTACAAAATATTTAATGTATTTATTAAATTATTCGATTGATTATTATTAGTAGTTTAAAATTACTCCTGTTTCTAGTTTAGAAATATTATACGATACAAATAGTAATAATAAATAGGTTTTTTTAAGTGGAGCAAATTTCCAAACATTTTAGTCTACAATTTCACATAACTTCATGAGTATTTTAATTTATCCTAAAAATTATTTTAACTTCTTTTGGTGCCCCCACCCCACACACACTTTATATCTAAAGCTTCAGTTCACATGTGCAGAATAGCTAAATCCAATTACAGGATGAATAACGCTCAGCCACAAAAACAAACCAGCCCAGATAACTTCAGCAACAGTCACAGCCCACCACGAAAGTGGGCAACTTATATGCATGCGTCCTCGACAGGATGCACGAGATTTGTAGCTAGAGGCCTGACAAACGATGCCGATTACCGAACGAACCTAATTGATAAGGGATAATGTTTCTGAAAATGGAATAAAATGATCAGGATTGTGTCTATTTTATGCAAAATTACTTAAAAACTAATTAAGATGTTAAGTTAGGCCGAATGAGGCAATAATGTGTGGCTTATGGCTAGCATATTGTCGCACGAGATTAAGCACAAATGAGGCAACGATGGCCATTCTTTGATGCCGAATACCAAATAGTTTCATATTTGGATTAGGTGATTTTCCATTAAATGGGTACATAATTATGATTCTGCTATACGCAATCTTAAGAGAACTTGGAAGATTCAATTAGCCACTAATTAATTTTGAAGTTTTAACTCCAGCGAATTTACCAGATGGTGAATGAAATTAATGCACCCTTTTTTTTTTTTTTATAGTTTGATATTGAAGGCATTATTCATAAAATTTTATTTTCTCTTGATATATCAAACGGATGGTGTTGAAAACATAATATTTATTGCTAAAAAAATATATATATATATTGCACATATATCTAGTCCGATGACTTTTGATCAACATAAATTTGATCCGAATAATGATTTTTTTTTTTTTTTGAAACACCGATTGTTAGAATGATGCTAATTAATTCATTAATATACTTTCCTTACTGCGAAAATGTTTGTCTTGAAGTTGAAGGACGAGAAGGCAGGGCTGTCCATCAATTTTAGTCCACTCATATATCCCAAAGAACTAACTAAACTGATGTAGTTACAAAATTGGCTTTAATTTCGATGATTTAACTGACAATTTCATGGTTAATAAGACATATGTTATCAGTTGGGTTGTAAAATTGTTGTGTATTCTTCTATCTATATATTTGTAGGAGGGATCTTTTTGCAAATAATGTCAAAAAACTATGTGAATTCAAAAGTTTATATATTGCTTTCTAATTAATCAACAACGTTATGAGACATACAAATTAATATAATTAATATGTCTTTTTTTCTAAGAAATTTTGAATGGGAACATTTTCTTTTGTTGCATAATTATTAAAATAATAAATGCAGAAAAATTGATATTATGTACAAAGAGAATTATCCCTCATGTAGATCATGCCTCAAAGCTTACTTTGCTATCCTGATTTAAAAATTTCCTTC